TTCGAGTATTTAAATTTGGATTATTTAGCAAATATTGTTTACTTTGTTGTTGTTCACTAAATATTGAATTTGTATGATTCGTGTTTGTATATGAATTTAATCTTGTATATTTTAAATATTAAGCATATTTTCTTTAATATATCTCTTGATATCTGAGTTGCACAATAACTTAAATTTAATCTTGTATATTTTAAATGTTAAGCATATTTTCTTTGTTAAATTAGATTTTTTGCAAGTTATGCTTTTTTTTTATTGATTATGAAAATAACAAAATTGATTATTGAATTTGTATGATTCGAGTTTAGAGTAGTGCTTTCAATTTTATATCATTATTCTCGGTTTTTTATATTCTTAGTATATTTTCTTAAACTAAACGTTATTTAATATTGGATTATTTAGTAAAGATTGTTGCTTCGTGTTGTTCGCTAAATATTGAATTTGTATGATTCGTGTTCATTGTATTGCTTATAATTTTATCCCGTTTCTCTCACTTGTAATTTTGTATTATTTTTCTCGGGTATTTTAATTTGGATTATTTAGTAAATATTGTTACTTTGTGTTATTCATTAAATATTGAATTTGTATGATTTGTGTTTTTATATGAATTTAATCTTGTATATTTTAAATGTTAAGCATATTTTTTTTAATATATCTCTTGATATCTGAGTTGCCCAATAACTTGAATTTAATCTTGTATATTTTACATGTTAAACATATTTCTTTGTTAAATTAGATTTTTTGCAAGTTATGCCTTTTTTTTATTGATTATGTAAAAAAAAATTGACTATTGAATTTGTATGATTCATGTTTTGTAATATTGCTTGAATGAAAGAGATAAATACAGAAAAATATTTTCGTGATATATATTATCTATCTTATATTTATTGCATATTTTTTTTTAGACAAAGATACAGAGGAATATTTCGTAATATACTATCTCTCTGTGATATATATTATCTACTTACAAAGAGATGTAGTATTTGCTTAAACCAGACATTATCTAATATTTTCGTGAGATACAGAGAGAGATACATAGGTAAATATTGTAAAAATTTGATACTTTTGCGTGAATTGAGCGTGAGAGAGAGAGATACAGAGGAATGAGAGAAAAAGATTTGCTTGATTTAAAGAAAAAATTTGGGGGAATTAAATTTTGGAATATCAATTAGAAAACTATAAATTTTGAGCAACAAAAATATTTAAAAGAGTTAATGTGGTATGTCAGATCAAAACGATCTGAGACGTCAATAACTCGAGACATTTTGTGATAACATCGTCCGTTAGATGATACTATTTTTGGTCACGAAACGATCTAGACCACTTTTTGTCTTCAAAATTCAAATTCCTTCTACTTTATTGTATAGATATACACACACACACACTTACATACATACATACATACATACATACATATATATATATATATATATATAAATTTATTTTTTCATGATCAACATGGAAATATAGCCCATGTTTAACTCTTAATGAGATATAGAATTTTAATTTAGTTATTATTTTTCAGTCCTTTTTTTAGTATTAAGTTTTAATCCATCTTAGAGTTAATAATAATTCTTCTATTCTACATAAACACATAGACTTAAAATTTAGACTTTCAGTTCATGTATACTTAGTAATTAAGTCTCCTAGTCGCTGTAGTAGTTTTGAAAGCAGCCTCAAGAATTGAAGGTCTTATTTTTACAGTTAGTGAAAATCTCCTCATGACAGTGTGGAATGAAGAATCGAAGAACCAAACGGTCCTCGAGCTTATTATCAGTCCATATAGCAGCTTGAAAGCAACCCATGATCAATCCTTATGGCAGTTTGAAAGTAGCCTATACCACCAGATTCTTTTCTTGTAGTAAGTACATCTCGTGACGTGGTGTATTGAAAAATCAAAGTACCTAACAATTTTCAATAATCAATCCTTATAGTAGATTAAAACTTGTCTACACCACTAGATTCCTTTCTTGCTGTAACTGGACCTCGTGACGTGGTGCATTTAAGAATCAAAGGACATAGAAGTTTTTGAGCCCATGATCAATCCTTGTAGCAGTTTAAAAGTACCATACTTCATATCTCTACAACTACTTAGATATTTTTTTTTTTGATGGGGTGGATTGTAGAATTGAAGAAGCGACAGTTCTTAAGCTTGTGACCAGTCCTTGTAACAGCAATTTATAGCATCTGGCAATAGTGGACAACAAGACCAACAGTCCAATAGTCCAATAGACCAGCTTCAGTGTGGTGAGTTAAGGTGAGGTTAAGTTGCTACTTTTGCATGAATTGGTGACTTCTATGACAACTTTGGGTGGCTTCTGTGTCAACTTTGGGTGACTTTTTGTGTCAAATTTGACTTCTATTTCCAAGAGTTAGTGACTTCTATGCCAATTTTGGGTGGCTTTTATGTCAACTTTGGGTGACTTCTGCATCAATTTTAAGTGACTTCTGTTTCAATAGTGACTCCTGTGCCAACTTTGGGTAACTTCGGTGTCACATTTGGGTGACTTCCATGTGAATTTTGGATGAATTTTGTGTCAAGAGTTAGTGACTTCTGTGTCAAGGGTTGTTTATTTTTGTGTCAATTTTAGGTGATTTCTGTGTCAAGAGTTGGTGATTTCTGTGTTAAGGGTTGTTGAGTTTTGTGTCAACTTTGGATAACTTTTGATTCAAGAGTTGGTGACTTCTGTGTCAACTTTAGGTGATTTTCATTTCAAGGGTTGTTGACTTCTGTGTCAAGGGTTGTTGACTTCTGTGTCAAGAGTTAGTGACTTATGTGGTAGTCTTACGTGTCTTATGTGTTAGCCTTAAGTGACTTCTATGATGCCTTAAAATGACTTTTACGACAGTTTTAAGTGACTTTTGCGGTAGTATTAAAATGATTTTTGTGGCAGCATCAAGTGACTTCTCCCAATAGATGGATTGCAGAATTTGAAAAAACAATAGTTTTGAGAGTAGCCTACAACACAAGACTTCACATCCCTACAGCCAGTGGGTATCCCTTCTTTGGTAATGTGGATTGTAGGATTGAAGAAGCAACAAGTCTTGAGCCCCGTCACTAGCTCTTGCATGAAAGCAGCCTGCAACATTGAACTTTATATCCTTGCAGCTAGTAGACATCCCTTATTGATTGGGTAGATCATGTAATCGAAAACTATCAATTCTTGAGTCTGTGGCCAAACACTGCAATATCAACTAGTAATTATGGGAATTTGATTTCGAATAAACTCCACTTACAGAGCTCAAAGTTCTTCTACTTTGAAAACAAGGTAGATCAAAGGATACTTCTTGCAACCAAGATCAACGAGCTCCAAATATGTTGAAGACTTTTTTTTTTGTTTCGTATGTTTCTGCGTACTGAATGAATGGAGATTACTTGGAATAAACCATATTAACTCACGATGAAGCTATTGTAAATTTTCTTCTTTTTTTCTTTTGGTTGGGCACTTCACAATTGTGACTTGCATTTTGAATTATTTTTAGGTTTGGATCACATATAATTTTATGATTCTTAGAGCACATGATCTTGATCTGTTTAAGTTGTACTTTGATTTTGGACTTATGTGGTAACAATTCTTATATGCAGATGAACTAGATGTTAAATTGAATTGTGTGCATTTGGATTATGCGAGATTTGGTATATGCAGATAAGTTACTGCGTGTGTGTGGCTGTGTATGCGTTGTGGATGTTTTTGGTTGTTTCTCATGACAGGGTGAAATCTCCAAAGCTTACCAGAAAGGTGGGACATCATAACTCAGTGTTACGACCGATGTGAAGAAGTTTATGATAAAAAATGTTAACAATTTAGATATTGTCTACTTGAGGGACCACATAGAAACATATTCAATACTTCAATGTATTAAAATGGTGCAATTAAAATAATAGAGACCAACTGAGATAAACTTCATATTTTGGGACTTCCAATGTAATTTACCCTAAATTCAAAAAGAAAAGAAAAAAAATATATGAGCTGACGCCGGCCGACGTTTTACGAGGCGCTTATCTCTCTCATCTCATTCCAATCGAAGTTGACAATCGTTCGTTGCCCACCAGCCCAGTCTTCAACCTCACCTAACCTAGCCCTCCACTATCAACCAGGTGTGGTGTTTTTTTCTCTCATCGTACTTAGATCCTTCAATTCAAAATCTTACTGTTCTTGATTGATTCACTTCCTATTTGATTCGCTCCGTTTTCCGGTACATGTTTTTGTTTGTATATCAATTTTTCATTCATGAACACCGATGTTTTGATCTGGAAATGTGGTTGCGTGTATTGAATTGAATGATTAGAAATTGTAGTGCGTTGTTAATTAGGGTTAAATTAAGGCTGTGAAGAAGGAGATATGTGGGGAATTATCAGGCAAAGAATCGTCAGTAGAGGAGGCAATCCTGCCTCGGTTAGAAGCTGAACTTTTTCTGATATTTGATTTTAATCGTGTGATTCATTTTGTTAGTTTTTACATGATTTGTTTTTTGTTTGTAATTGAATTTCTGTGAGCTTAATTGGGTTTAATGAACTGTTTAACCTTTTTCTAAAACAAACTTGATTGTTTTGTTTGTGTGTAGAAGATTTTGAATCGGTCCTCAGAGAGAGGATTCCAGTTCTGCCAGCAGTTTATACCTCCAGAAGTTACTCATCTGCAGCAAAAGAGGTGATTAATTGTAATTCATATATATTTTTGTTATTGTGCTGTTGATGTATATTCAAGTTCTTTCCATTATCATGTCTGCACATGTTATGTAAATCAAGCAATTCGTTAATATTGGGATCACAGAAAATGGCTAGATTTTGAGGTAGTTTTTTTTTGGGGACTTGGAATGAATCATTTAGGAAACACAGGGGTGTTCATTGTTTTAGATAGTAGTCCTCATGAAAAAAAAAATAGTTTTTAGTAATGGATTTATCGGCCCACTTTATGAGCTTACTGAAGGCACGGCGTAACGAAAAATTAAATTAAAACTCGAAGAATCTTACATTACCTAAAGACTCTTTGCAACATAAAATAACCTGTCAATTTGAAATTAAGGTAGTCCATACTATTATCCAGAAATTTCAGCATAATTTTCTCTAAAAATAGGAACCCATAAAATTTTAAACCTGTTTATAGAACTTACAATCATACATAACAATTATCATAATTTACCATACCTCCATAATAATCAATACATATCCAATCATCAACACATATTCAACCACCAAAACATCAAGTTAATCTCTACTAATTTCAAGAAATTTGGGCAGAGTTTACTCTAAAAATTGAAGCCCAAAAAAATATAAACCTGTCTATAAAACTTACAATTATACATATCACCACAATCATCATAACCATGTTTATCCAAACAAAACCATCATAACTATGTATAATTAGTTAATTGTACAAAAGACGGAACACAAAAAATACATACATACACAAATAGAGAAACACCTTCAACTTCATCTTCATATCCTTCCATGTATACCTAAAAATATTTGAAATATAACCAATTATCGAAATATGAGAGGCAAAATAAAACAATTGTAAATCCGAAACATAAACCCCTTACTTTTATCGTTAGTTGGATTTAACATAAAATTGATAATTATAGCACTATCCCAAATTTTGTCGCAAGTGCCACAAACACATTTTAGAGAAATAAGCAACTATGTTTCCTAGAACCAAATATGACCCAATACGCGAGTGATCTTGGTTAGTGGAAAACCATCTCACTCAGCAAGACTTTGGAATCAAATATGACTCAATAAACCCACAATCTTTTTCCCAACTGTCAAACAAAAACCAAATATTTTTTAGTGAATCACCAACAAACTTGGGGCTTTAAGGGAAAAGAAATGAAATGAGAGGGAAAATTGTCTTACTTGTGTAGTGGTGTCATTTGAAATTGTTAGCGGCATCTTTGTTGGTAATGAGTTCTTCGGTAACAATCGGTGATTTTCAATATGCAGTTCCGAACTTATTGAAAAACTACTATCAGTTTTATCATTCATATGGGAAAAATGAAATATAATTATTATTTCCAATCACTAATACATTAGTTTTAATGTAATTCGTAAACCCTCCATTCAAAACCCCCCAAAAATTCCCATTTGCACAATATTTAAACATGGAAACTAACTCAAATGTCAAACCAAATTTAGTTAACAATTAAAAGAATTAAAAATTAATTACTTTAGTGGATCCCTTGATGGTACTAGTCTATGTCTAGCTGAGTAAATCATCATGTGTGGTTGAACAACATAACCCCAATAAAAGAGAGAGAGAATTGACGGAGGAAGTAGAAGCAAAGGCTTGGCTTGAGCGAGGTTTGAAAAAAAAAAACCAGAGATGTAGGGGGAGGTTGCATCTTTGACGGATGAAGTGATTGGGTGTGGCTTGATTTTGAAAAATAATGAGTAAAAAGAGATGAATTTGGGGGGAAACAAAAGAGTATTAATGGCCGTTAGATGAATGAATTGATTTGAGGCCGTTGGATGTTGAAGCTGCCCTGTTTTATATTATAGATTCTCACTTGTTTACCGCGTTTGATACTCCTAAGTTGCTTCTTATTTTTTTTATTTTGCCATTTGTTAGGAGTATAGAAGTAAATCAACATGTTTTACTGTGTGAAATTGGTTTCTCTCAACTTCTAGGATATAATTTACTATTACATTCCTAATGCTATTTTGTTATAGTTTTTTTCCTTCTTATTTTCCCCTTCTTTGTAAAGCTCCATTTTCCTATTAATAAAATTTATCCAAAAGAACAATAAAATTGTGAGTTTTAATTAAATTTTTGTTCTCCTATGAATTTTTTTAACTTGAATGTTACAAGAGCTTAGGTAGGAAACTTTTCCTCAGGTATATGATTTTTTTTTTCTTATTTTCTTATGACAAGATGATGTTCCGCTGAACTGAATTTTGCAAGTTAGTGTTTGATTGGATTGGATTTAATGATACATATTCTTTTTGCATGTCCATTTCTGGTTTATTTTTCCTCCTTTCTAGTCCATGCCGGAAGTCAGCTCTCTGTTGCTTCTTTGTATATATCTGTTGTGGGCATGTGAGCTAGTATATTTGTTGTTACTTTATCTCTTTTTTAGTGCCAATTTCTTGCAGAAGACTGCGTGATGCCTTGAATTCTGCACTTGATGAAGAAATGTCTGCAGATCCTAAAGCATTTTTAATGGGGAAGAGGTATTATGGAAGCTTGAGTTTTCCGTTTTGTTTCCATAGCTTGATATGATCTGATATCCAGTTCTGACATTTGTTTATTAGGTGAAATTTTAAGGTTGGTGAATACCAGGGTGCTTACAAGGTTAGAAATGCTCAGTGAGATGTGACCTCATTCTTTTCCACTTTAAAGGATGCCCATGCTTGCCCATTTCCAGGAGTACTAGTGATGTATTTGTCCCAATATGCGCTTGTAAGCTTTACGACCATTTCATTAACCATAGCCTTTTGCTTTTCTTGCTGCATTGATGATTCATTAAATTCAGAATCACGCAGTCGAAAGAAGCCCTAAGTTGCCCAACAAAACTTGAACACAAAGAGTCAACAAATCACAGTTGACCCCATAACACATAAGCTTAATTTTCTGAGCTTTATGAACACAAAATGGTGAGAATGAGTATGGCTTATCAATACTTATTGCCCCTGTGGAATCTTACAAATACCAACATTGCTCCATCCGATAAGAAACTTTATGTCTGGTGACTTTATAATCAACCACAATGGTATTCAATCTCCTCATCTAACCAGAAGTCACATCTACTTTGTGACATCCAACCAAGTAATCTATAAGGTGCAAACATTCATGAATATTGTACAATGTTTTAATCATCAAACTGTTTGAGAAATAGGCGCCTATTGAGAGAGCACTCATTTCACCCTAATAAGAGAAGCATAAAAAAAGCTTTAGAAAACAGGTAAACATGTCTCAATCTCAGCAAAAAAAGGTGAAGCCACTAAAAAGAAATCATAATTCAAATCATCTCGGCTCTCTAACTGTACCTTGTTAGTTGATGGATGGAAAGTTACCCAAAAAACTGATCCCTTGTAAGTTACCATGTCTTCCCCCAAACTTTTCCCTTTTTTTTTAGGTAAATCAAACTTTTCCCTTTTTCCCTTAGAGAAATTCTTTTTTCCATGTTTGTCATCCATCTATATGTAACATTGCTTCTGTATGAGTGCTCAACTTATACTTCCATGACAAATTTCTATAATCTGTCCAACTGGCAGTTCCCTCCATAATTTTTGTCACTCTTTGAAAAGCAGACCAACATCAAGCTCAATTTCCTTTTGAATGGAAAAGAATTGCAAAATTGGAACATTTCAAGAATCAATTAATAGACAACCCTCATATGTGTACCATTAAGGGCAGATAGCTGCTAGGAAAGGTTTTCAACACGGAACTGTTCTGTGTTCCTTATTTTTCAAACACCAAAATAAGGCTGAACATTATATTCCTCAATACAATCCCCAAGGCATAAGAAATAACACGACTCTACAATTGGCAACAGAGAGAGAGAGAGAGAGAGAGAGAGAGAGAGAGAGAGAGCCAAAACAAGTCAAATAATCACAATTTCTTTACAGTTACTTCCTGTATGCAATGGTGGTGTGGTTGGAAAGGAATGCGTACATTTTTTAAGAAATAGAGTCCTCAGGAAAACTAATGGGATAAAATCATTTTCAAGGCTTCCCATTGAGATTCTGCTGCTAAGGATCGTTTTCATCAAGTATCTTTGGCATGTGGCATCATCAAGTATGTGCTGATTGTTGAGGCTTGAACATCTTAATGTGTGTTCTGTGTTAAGCTTATAGCTTTTTGCATCGAGTAATGCTAGGGATCCCCAAATTGTATCCCAAATCAGCAGGGATCCTTAGATCAATGGGTTCCCATTTTGAGGATTCCTTGTCCTCCCATGTACTTTTTTCACATTTAGATTAAACAACTTCTCATTTTTCCTATTCAAGAAAAAGTTTCTCTCTCTGTCTCTCTCTCTGTCTCTGTCTCTCTCTCTCACACACACACACACAAAGTATTAGTAACTCATTAAGAAACTTTTTTGGGACAATAATACTCAACAGTAAATGGCACACTCATATCCGATATTCAAAGTTAAACAGTCATATCCGATATTCGAACATTATAGACTTCAGAATTTGGAAACATGCGTACACATGGGGAACAATATATAACTGTGAAGGGTATTTTCCTTCTCAGACTACTTGAAATGGGACAAACATATCGCTCATCTATACATGAAGACAAATTCCAACACAGTAAAATCTGTACTCAGAGAGAGAGTGAGTGAATATAATTTATACAAAAAATAGAGAAAACTTGCATTGATAAATTGCTCTAATTTCGCTGAGTTTAGAGCAGAAGGATCCATGTCAGATGATTGAGTAGGACTACTACTACTGATTTTGGATCACTGAGAGCTTTGTAGTCTTCAACCCTGAGCTAAAACCCTAGCAAAGCCGTGGACGAGGAAGAACAAAATAGCAATGGCTAATCGTCACAAGGCCCACTACAATATGAACTTCCCCAGATAGCCCACTGGCCCAATATAGGACTATAGTTAGGGCTGTTAAATGATTTCGGCATCTCGAGGCTGAGGCTTGGGCTTGGGCTTAGGCTCGGGCTCGGGCTCGGGCTCGGGCTTGACTCGATTTTAGTTTGGTTTGGTTTGGTTCAATCATATTATAAAATGAGTTGAATCTGAATAAATTTTTAGGCTCATTTAGTATTTGAGCCGAGCCGTCTCGTTTTTTTTTTATTTGTATATAATATACATATAAATTATTACATACCTTAATGTTATTTCAGTCAAATTAGCAAAAAATTAAGTTTGTTTTTGTTGTGATTTGGATGTATTTAATGCTCATATTTGTGTTAAAATTTAGATTTTTGTGTATTTTTGTAAATTTTTTTGATTGAGTATTTGAAATTTGTGGATTTGAATTTTTAGTTTTTTTGTTTGGTCAGAATGTAAAGAGAGAAGTTTTGTTGAATGACTTGTTTTTTTGCTCGAATTCAATTTGAGTTGAGCTTGAACAATATTTTTTCAGCTCGATAGGCGAGCCCGATCCTTGCTTGAGCTATCTTTTTGCTAGTTTGGAGTCAGAACTTGCTAAACTATACGGACAGATTCAATCTTGGAAGGATCGATTCCACTAACACCCCTAACCATAGTGCCCCTAGTTTGACCACAAGCGCACCTCTCTGTGACTAGGGTAAGAGTACGATACCCACAACAAAAAAATGGGTATAATAAAAAATAGATTTTAATCGTAACTCGTGTGATTTATTTTTTATTTTTAACTTAAAAATAATAAAATAAAATATAAAATATTTTACATGTGGTGTGCCCTCGTCCATATAAGATAGGAGGAATGGTACTGATTTGACCCTAGAAGTAAGTATTAGTACAAAACTATGAATAATAATTACAACCTTTTTTTTGGGTCTCTCAAGAAACAAAGATACATCAAACTACACAAAAAAAAAACAGCAAACAACCAAAAAAAAGGACAAAACAAATTTTCAACAAATACCCTCTCTTGCTTCCTTTTGTACGAGTCTCCTTAGCTGCTCCGGAGGGTTAACCACCCAGTGAGGGGATAAGTTGCTCTTTCTAGCCTGAGTTGCAACTAGATGAGCTAACTAATTAGCTTGTTAGTTAACAAATTGAAACTTGATTAAAGAAATTTTTACTGGAGTAAAACCAAATATTCCTTTGAATAGGCTCAACCTCTCTTAACAACGAAGTTGGCCCTCGTTGGATAGCTTCAATCAGCACCTTAGAGTTAGATTCAACAATAACTTCTGAAAAATTCTTTGCAACTGCCATGGCGCATGCACATCAAACAACCCATGCTTCTGTAGATAAAGCTGAGGAGGCATGCATTGTTCCAGAGGCTTCAGAGATTTGAGTCCCCATCTGGTCACGTACCACAACTCCAAGCCAACCTGGTGGAGGCAGGTTTCATACTAGCTGAGCACGCTGTCCATGCTCAAATGGCTTCCGCAAACTCTTGCTCTGAAAAACTTCAGTTGCAGCAATTATTGCTATCTCCACAACACCAGAGGAATTTAAATTCAAACACCCACTCATTCGTTGCTTTCCAAATAAATCATAGCAAGAAGGCAAGGAGTGTCAATGGTCTCCTTCTCTTCGATTTGGATCCTCCATTCCCCAATTTTCATTCATCTCAACCAACTCCATTAACCAAGTCTCCATTCTCAAGACTTTGCTTCTATCCACCTTTAGGTTTAAATGAGACTTTAACCATACTCCTTCCACCCACTGACACAACAAAAACAAATGTTAAATGGTCTCCTTCTCTTCCCCCACAGATAGGACAAACTGCACTGTGAAAAACTCTTCTTGTCCATAGACTTTCCTTCATAGCCAAAACCCCCACTGCCACTTTCCATACAAAAGATTTGATTTTTCTGCTTAGCAATAACACCCCATATCATCTTCCATAAGCCTCTTGGAGGGATGAAAGACGAAGATGCCTTTGATTTAGGATTGCTTCTTCTCTGCTTCTGAACTTGAAAATGGTACGCACTCTGTACAGAATACATCCCATCCCTAGTATGGTCCATCTTATCCTATCTTCTTGCTCTGTTTCACACAGTGGAATGGAAAAAATCACTGGTATTAAATGTGGTGGAAACGTCTCCTGAATAACCTCTTGTTGGTTTGTTTTTTATGGAGTCTAGTATGTATATGTGATCCGGATGATGACCCGACCCGAAATAATGTTGTGTGGTTTTTAATGTTGGGCCCGTTATACAGCCCAGTGCGTAGGACATATAAACCCTGTTGTTTTGGTGATTAGGGTTAATCGTGTATGTACAACCGCTCTCTGTATTCAACTCTCTCAATAGTGAAATCCCTGCAGCTTCGTGGACGTAGGCAAATTGCCGAACCACGTAAAATCTGTGTCTTGTTCTTTCTTGTTTCTTATTGCTTTATATTCTTGATTTGTTCTTCGATTGTGTGTGTTTGTTAGTGGATTTAAATCGTGAGAAATCCCAACAACTGGTATCAGAGCTCTAGGTTAAGAGGTCAAGGGTTTACACAATGGCAGAAGATAAAGTTAAGATCGAAAAATTCAATGGCACGAACTACGCGTTTTGGAAGATGCAGATGGAGGATATTGTGTATCAGAAGGATCTTTATCAACCTATCGATGGGAAGAAGCCAGCGGATATGGAGCAAGCAAAGTGGGATGTTCTGGATCGCAAAGCCCTAGGGACTGTGCGACTGTGCCTAGCGCCGTCAGTTGCATCGAACATCGCCAAAGAAAAGACTACATCAGATTTGTTCAAAGCCCTAGAAAAGATGTACGAAAAGCCTTCAGCGGTGAATAAGGTATATCTTATGAAAAAGTTATTTAATCTAAAGATGTCTGAAAAT